TATTTAATTAATGACACATCACCAAGCGACGATTTTCCTGTTACAATCAAAATAAGCACCTCCTGGAAAATAAATAAAATAGAGCCAGTCATAAAAAGTTGACTTTGAAAAATTAAATAAAAGACTGATAGAAATTCAACTAGATCCTCACTTGGATGTTGAACAAACAACGTGCAACTGGTATGAAAAACTTAATAAAATTTTAGATGAATTCGCCCCATATAAAAATTATCCCTACAGAAAAAAAAGATCATCATGGATAGACAATGAAATAAGAGAACTCATTGAAAAGAGAAAATATATGACTAGAAAATTAAACCAAAATAAGCTTTCAGAAATCCAATACCAATAATATAAAACCCTAAAAAAACAAATTAGAAGTCAAATACAAAAAAGGAAAAAAAAAAAGGAGAAGAGGCATTTACAAGTAAAAACCCAAAAGATAGTTGGAAATTCATAAAAAAATTACTTTTACAAGCAAAGGAGCAAATCAGATTAACAAAAAAATAATAACGTTGAACAAGTTAAATGACTATTTTGCTTCAGTAGTACATCAACCTGAAAGAAAAATACTAGAATGGCCAACTGGATGTGACATTCCTAATTCTTTCCAATTTGAAAAAATAAAGATAAGTCAAACAGAAAAACTACTAAATTCCCTAAAAACAAATTCAGCATCCGGTTATGATGATATTCAAATATATCAAAATCGATCTCTTATAATCTCACTCAAATTTTTAGCAAGTCTTTATAAAATGGAGTTTTTCCATCAATTTGGAAAAAAGCTCATATTACCCTATTATGGAAAGGAAAAGGTAAAAAAAACGACGCAGCTAACTATCGACCAATCTCTATATTGCCTATATTCGGTAGGGCTTTTGAAAAATTGGTAGCCATACAACTCTCAAGTTTTAATGATATGTATCAACTTATTCCAAAACAACAATTTGGATTCAGGAAATTCTCAGGAGTTGAAACTGTTATACTCACAGCTACAAACACATGGTATAAATCAATTGACGATGGTAAATAGGTAGGTGCTCTATTAATAGACTTATCCAAAGCCTTCGATAGCGTACCACATCAAGAAGTTTTAAATGAACTGTTCAAAATGCGTATAAGAGTCAAAACAGGACAATCGTTTTCTAATTATCTCGAAAATAGAATACAAAGGGTTGAGAATGCTAAAAAATTTAGTTTATGGAAACCAATCACTAAGAGTGTCCCACAAGGAGGTGAACTCAGCCCGGTATTATTCAACTCTTACACAAGAGAACTCCCAACTTCTTTAATAACCGTATCTGAAGCCGACCTATCACTTCAAGTAGTTGCAGAAAAATTAAAAAAATCGTTCCAGGATACAAAAGATTATTGTGAAAAAATGAAATTGACTATAAACAAAGATAAGACCCAATTAATTATTTTCAAACCACCCAAGAAGCAAATACCTGCTGACTACCAAATTCTATTAGTTGAAATAACAATAAAGCCTGAAAGCAATATAAAATTATTGGGAGTAACATTGGACCAGGATCTACACTTTAAACAGCAGATCGAGTCGGTAATAAAAAAATGCCACTCTTCCCTGGGAATGTTGGCAAGAGCATCAACAAGCTTACCAAAAAAACTATTAAAGTTGGCCTACAACGGAATGGTGCTTAGTCATATGGAATTTATTAGTTCAATCTATATTTCAATGCCAAACACCCATATAATAAAATTAGACGTACAAAAACAAGCCGCTAGAATCATTTCCCATGCACCACGAAATTCCCATGCTGTGCCATTAATTAAAGAACACGCACTAGCGGATCGAAGAACGGATCATGCCATGAAAATAATTGAATCAGTTGTTAAAGGAAAATGCCATCCTACTTTAAAAGAACTTATCCAAGTAAACAATGAAGGTCTTTTAAAAATAGCAGTATCAAATAATACATATGGTAAAAAAAGATTCTGTGTCTCTGGAGCCATTTTGTATAATAAAGAATACAAAAAAAAATATATAAAACAACAAAAATACAAAAATATATATATATATATATATATATATATATATATATAAAGTTAAGTTAAAAAAAATTTATATATATATATATATATATATATATATATATATATATATATATATACATTTAAACTTTGAGCAGCGGAAGAAAGACCGGATACTGAAGTCAAATAAAATAAATTACAAAGAAGCGCAAAAAGAAAAAACTAAAAAGGACCAGATAATAGAACATTTTGCATAGGCATAGGTGTCTAGCTGTCATCGAAAAAAAATAAAAATTTACAAACAAAAACCAGACTTACTTGCTCTTAGTGAGACTAATTTAAATTCCGGTATTCTTTCTTTAGACCTCAGTGTTGATAGGTACTATCCTTTGATTTGCAAAGACTCCAATAGTCACATACTTGGCTCAGGGGTACACATACGCATCAATTCACTTATTTGTAGTAAAATTACGTTCTAACCCTATGACCATTATTTTATGTGCTTCCGCTGACCCTAATGGCACTAAAACCTAAAACTTCTGCATTTCTCAATCTCTTACTCAGATATTTAACTTTTTGACTCGTTTTCCTGAAAACCCTAATCATTTACCTTCACTCCTTGATTTATGTCTTGTCTCCTAGCTTGCGTTCAGTTTCTCCTTTTTTCTCTTAAGTGATTATAACCATGCAATGATCTCTTTAAATTTTTAATTTCGTATTTCCTTTTCGGACTCTGTCATTGCACTACTTACTACTATCCTAAAATTTACTGGTATTCGTTTCGTGATTTTCTTCGCGACTTTCCTTGGGCTTTTCTCTATAAGCTGATCAATGCGCCTCTAACATAACCTCCCTGATTCAGGCAGAAATAGAAGCTTTTATTTCTTCTCGTTGGTTTGAAGTTGAGCCTCATTCTACTCCATGATTTTTACCTTCTTGTGCAGCTGCTATATCTAATCGTAATCTTTTTTTTTCATCTTTTTCAAAAAAACAACTCTCTTGAGTGTTGTTTTTTTGAAAAAGATGAAAAAAAACGGCTGTATATTATTGCAAAAAATTGATATAAAAAAGTGCTGCTGATCCATTATTTTCAGTTCGCTAAATCTCGTATCTTAGAAGTTAGGCTCTAGAGACTCTTGACATATCTAAAGCTTTCGAAAAAGTTTGGCATGCTAGTCTTCTCCATAAGCTAACAAGCTTATAATCTTAAAAACTTTATCAGATACACCATATGAAACATCATATGGTGTATCTGGTAAAGATTTTAAGATTATCAAATCGTTTTTTTCCAATTACTTTATTAAAGTCATTATCAGTAATTTCTGGGGTACCTCAAGTACCTTGTAGGGTATCTCCTTGGTCCTTTTTTTGTTTCTAATCTACAATAATTATCTTTTCAACAATCTTACATGTAAAGTTGCTCTTTTTACTGATTACTCAAATTTATACTCCTGTCTTTACAAAAAGTGTTCTTTTTTCGATCGCCTAAAACAGACTGCCGATCATGAATCTGATCTCACTTTTATAACAGATTGGGGTTTTGGCTCCAACAAAACCCGGAAACGGAAACCATTATTTACTGCAAACAAATATTGCAATACTGTTGACATTCCTATATTAATGAATGGCAACCCTGTCACTGAGCCCTCTTCTTTACGTCTTCTTGGATTATCGTTTACTACTGACCTTTTATGGAAACCAAACATACAATTGATTGCTTAATTAACATCCGCTAATGTTGCTTCTCTTTATCGTGCTTGCCATTTTCTTACTCCTGATTCCTGATTTGTTGACTCCAGGGTTGGTCTTTTAGACAAGGTTCAAAAATGTAGATAGATCCGCTTTATCTACTAAGCTTGGGCTATTTTTCCATCCTCGTAAGGTTGCATCTTTTTCTTTTTTCTAGAAACAATTTCATGGTCGCTGCTCAAAAGATTTGTCATCTATAGTTCCATCAACTAAAACGCATTCTGGCTAAACTCGTCATTCAGCAAAGTTTCATTTATTTACTGTATCGTCCCTGCATGCTAAAAATTTTTATTCGTTTAGTTATTTTCCCCACACTTCAACCCTTTTGAGCTCTTTTTTTCCTTGTAACTCCCAACGTAACAGTGGCTTTGTTGGGAGTGAATGAGAACATAAAAAAATTATTTTTATAAATTTTTCAGTTTTAATGAAACTTAAGTATTTTATTGAAAGAGTTTTTTTCACAATTTAAAGATAATTTATTTTCTTTAAAACATACGATAAAGCTTTCGGGTTTAGCGTTTATTGTTTTGAACAATAACATTAGAATAATTATTGAATAATTTTCAGCATACTTAATTAACACACACACACACACACACACACACACACACACACACACACACACACACACACACACACACACACACACACATATATATATATTATTATTATTATTATTATTATTATTATTATTATTATTATTATTATTATTATTATTATTATTATTAACAAAACAACAATAATAATTAGAATAGTTTTTCATATATAAAATAGTTTTAAGAAATCACGTTAAAAATTTCTGCACAGCTACAATAAAAAATGTTTTTATTTAAATTTTTATTATTTAAAATAAATGGATGGAAATTTTTATCTTAGGTTTAAAAATTACTTTAGCTATTCAAATAAGAATGTCTTTTAACGAAGGATTAATTTGAACGATTTACCATATAAGGTTTCATACAGAAAAAATATTATTTGTAAAAACAATTTGTATCATAAAATGAATTGTTTTAAATCGTGCAATGGATTGCCTTAAGCATTAGCGATTTTAACTGCCCAAGGATCGTGATGTTAAATTTATATAGTAGAGTACTAATTTAAAAAAAAATCATTTGAAAAATTTTACTTATAAACATAAAATAAATAATTCATGCTTTTCACGAATTTCAAAATTCATTATTTTTAAATTTTTTTTATTTTCTTATGTTTTAATAGACTGCAATATTTTAAGAACAATGGTAAAATAAAAAGAGCTTAGTAGACGCGCTTCATTGAATATAAATGATTACTTTAATCTTTCAGTAATTTCCATCTGAGTTTAATTTTGTTTTAGCACAACGACACAACGAACGAACGCCCTTGTTTATTAAAACGCTGCTTATTTAAAATTCTCTACAAAGATGCCAAACAAACCCAGTAAGTATTCTTTATCGTACATTTAACATCTTATAAATACTGTGAAGTATATATTGCCGTAATATGAAAATACAATTAATTGTGTTTTCATTTTATGATTATTTAAATTTACATATACACAAAAAAATTATAAAGGTGCGAAATACTTTTTCCGAATTAATTGTAAACTTTTTTGTTAATTTTGAATACTAGTTGGATAGTTATCCGTTGTTGTTCGAGTTGGTTACGTTGGTGATTTTGTATTTTTTGCTAACTTTTGTCTTCATTAAGAGTTTCATATATCGTTAAGCAAAATTTCTTTTTCAATAATTCTTTATTTATGCAAAAGTTTGAAATTTTTGGCTGAAACTAAGTTTTAATTAATATAATCTTATTTTATTTGAGTGTACGTATTAAACACACGCACATATACACACTCTATACTCACTCTCACACACTCACGCACACATACACACACGCGCACACACACACATAAAAAGTCCTAAATGGTGATGGTTTTTTTTTTTAAATATTTTTTTTCAGATTCCATTAGCTTTTAAAAACTATTTTAAAGTTATGTTAGAAACTATAAAAATTAACCATTTTTGAATAAAAATATTTTAAAATTTCTATTTTGTTAATAAAATTATAGAGTGAGCATTGTAGTGTAGGCAAACAGTGCTTGATATGCGTTATAGTTTTACGTGAGTCGTTTTAATGTATTACTTTATTCGAGTTTCCTTTTTCTCTTTTATTATTATGTCATTAAATGTAAAATATAAAGATTACAATAAGTAGTTGTAACAATAATAAAAAAATAACAGTATAAAATAAATAAATAAAAATATAAATGCATAATAGCCTAGTTTTTTTTACAATTTTGTTAACATAATTTATTAATATATTTATAATATTTTAAAACTAATAGAGCTTTTTAAGCTGTTTTTGTAGCAATTTAAATTAATAACCACCTGCTAATAGTTTTGTATATTCAGTAGTTGGTAATAGGAACCAAAAATATTACGTTTTTAATATGAACCAAAAAATATGAGAAAGTTACGTTGCTAATTAGTATACTTTAGAAACCTGTTTTCAGTGGATTTAAATATAGTAGTACATTCAGCAACATAAAGGAGAACATCAGATTTATCCGGAATAAATATTTATATATTATTAGCAGATTAGGATAATTCTTTAAAATAAGATTAGTATTTAATCAACGCGCTTTCAATAACCATACATTATGTTTTAACAAAAGAGTTATTTTCTTTGCATATATTCTATACAGGGGGCGTCAAAAACAATAGTATAGAGGATTGGAGATTACAAAACCCCTTCCCAACTTACAGTTTTGTCAAAATTTGTATTTTTTGGATTATATCAAAATAATCAGAGAATGGTACCATTTATTTGTTGTTTTTTCACATTTGCTCTATCCTCACATATAAATTAAAAAACTCTGAAATTATTGAACTTTATTACTCCATTGCTTCACTATAAAATAATGCATACTCCAAAAATAATTTTTCTGAAGTTACTACCACGAAACAAGGTAGTTAATTTAAAAGTTTTTAAATGAAATGTAAATGAATACTGTAACCCTGCATTTAAAAAAATTTACTTCACTTTTTTTGTAATAATCTGAGGTCTCCTTTTCATATATAAGCAAATACAAAGTAGCAAATAAAAAAGACCCTCAAGAGAAAACAAAAAGCATCGGTTGCTAGCTGACGTTAGAAATGAAGTAAATAGGAATAGCATTCTTATTTGTTACGCAAAATGATTTTTTGAAATGTTTAATTAAAATTGATGTGTAGAATTTTCCTTAATGAACGCAATAATTTACGTTTATTTTATTTAAAGAATTAAAAAAAACTGTTTCGATTTTTAATTTCTTTTTAATTTTGAACTTTTAAAAAAATATTTATAGATTATTGGTATTTAAAAAATAAAAGGTTTACATTTCTTTATCTAATATTTATTAATTTTTTAAGATATGAATGTAGCAAGTAGAAGACAAAAATGTTTTCTACACTTGTTAATGCCACCGAATATACTTTATAAAAGAAAACAGTAAAACGATAAAAAGCATTTAATTCGATACGGGTTTCTTGTTTTTGTTTTTTATAAATTCAACAAAGGTTGATAGATGTCTATTTGCTGCTCTACAGCTTGTCTAGACAAGTCTGTAGAGCAACAAATGTAGCTATGAACAAATTATAAATAAATTTTTTATTTTTTTGAAGTACCTTTAATTATTGAATACTAGGAAATAACAAACTAAAAAATGTTTAATACTAGGAAATACTTACCAAAAATAAAAAATGTTTAATTAACCACACCATCATACTAGTAGACATTAACGGTCTTTAATATCAATTCACTTCTTTTGTTTCTTTTCATTAGTTTCAATCATTAAAGTTTTGGCTTATTTACTTAATTAAATGTAATTACTATTTCTTATTTACTTTATGTATTCTTTTTTTTAATTTAATTTTATCTATTTCACTTTTGTGACCTATGGTGGCTAATGTGTGCATCCGATCAATTCAAATCCTTACTGTAGGTCTTACTGTAGGTCTTACTGTAGGTCTTACTGTAGGTCTTACTGTAGGTCTTACTGTAGGTCTTACTGTAGGTCTTACTGTAGGTCTTACTGTAGGTCTTACTGTAGGTCTTACTGTAGGTCTTACTGTAGGTCTTACTGTAGGTCTTACTGTAGGTCTTACTGTAGGTCTTACTGTAGGTCTTACTGTAGGTCTTACTGTAGGTCTTACTGTAGGTCTTACTGTAGGTCTTACTGTAGGTCTTACTGTAGGTCTTACTGTAGGTCTTTCATCTGACTCTGATGTGCTCTGATTTTATTCGAATAATGAGCAAACTCTTTTTAAAAATATTTAATATCTTCCGTTGAGATTTTTTTTGTATCATGTTCCGACGTTTTTATTTCGATTTTTAGATGTGCTTAGGTGGTGGTTTCAATACCCAACTTTTTTTTAAATTAAACTTAGGAATATAAGTTGTATTCTTAATATAATGATAAAGATTAATGATAAAGATATGTTTTAATAATTTATATGAACATTTTTATTTAAAAAAAAATATTTAAAAACTTATCGAGAGTTCAAAATGTCAACAAAAAAAAAAGTGTGTATTTTAAAGTAATATTTTTTTTTTGTCTAATATTTATAAATAAAAATTTATCATTGGTTAACCACTAAGTTATATACCGTTTGACCCATTAGTTGTTGAAAAATTTAAAAATAACGTTTTTTTATAAAAAATATAGTAAAATAGTATTTAACACTCATTTTTACAAAAAATCGTGTATAATAAGTTTTTTTTTATTTTAATTTGATTTTTAACTTTTAACCAAAATAGTAACCAAATACTTGTTTACCATGATTACTTTCAATATTATTGACAATAACCATCGCCGACACCACGAAAGGGAAGGAGGGGGGTGGCAAGTTAAAACTAAAGAAGATTGAACGATAATTTCTATTTAGATAGCATCCATTTTATTTTTATCTTTTTTATTTGTCTCGATAAGATTTTTTTACTTAACGTCTCTGACACAACCGACTTTGGTGAGTCGAATAGAGAGTTATATAAATGAAGACAAAAAATAAAAATAAAAATAAAATAATATTGCTATAAGATTGAGCATAGACTCGTATGTTGCTTTTATTGTTTTAAATGAAATTATACGAAATCAGTTGTAACTAAAGTACAAAGACTGTTTTATTGTTCCCCAAATTTTTTTTTTCAAAAGCACATCAAAAATAAAATAGTGAAAGAAATCTGTTTTAATTTGACAAGAAGAACGATATAGAAAATTTCATTTCACTAGAAGAACGATATGGAAGAGTTAATTAGATATGTTTGAACCATTTTATAAATTGAAATCTGCCAGAAACAGTTTTATTAATTTATATATTATTATTTAGTTTTAAAAAAATAAAATTAATACCATTAACGATTTGCAAAAAATGCAGTTAATGTGTGTTATTAACTGCCGATGTCGCCATAAAACTCATGTTTGATAAATTAAGGTTAGGTTAGAGCGCTTGCTTTATAAGCATAGATCCAGGTTCGAAACGAGCTTTGGACATATTTCGCGTCACGGTAAGGAAGGAGGCGTGAACATCTTAGTTAAATGCACTTACCCGGTGCTCTATGACAAGACTGTTAGCATACCTTGGGGCACCTACATAACAAATAAAAATAATAATAAAAAAAATTAAAAAAATTGTCTACGTAGAGTACTGTTCTTAACAGAGAATTAAAATATGAATTAATTTCACTAATACAAGAGTATTTCACTATTACAAGAGTATTTCACGTTATTAACCATAAGAGTAGACGTAATAAACAAGAATGAAAGAAAAAAATGACTGTCGAACGAGAGTGAAAGAAAAAACGAGAATGAAAAAAAAGTATGACTGGAATGAAAAAAATGTCATCTCATAACGATCTAGCTCAAGTATTTCTTTATTTAATTTGCTTTTTTTACTCATTAAATTCACCTTCCAATGCTCTGTAGAACACTTAAGTTTAGATCATTTGAAATTCTTTCTTAACCCTAAACTCGGAGACACAAACTTACTAAACTAGGTTGCTTGCTAAACTAGAAACAGGTGTAGAGCGGTACTTTCAGAGATGATTTGAACTGCAACATTAAAATACGGCTAATACCCTAAAGATATAAAATGGATTAATATACGTAAAATAAAATATCTAATTTTAAAATTTTCTAAGCAATTTTCAAAATATTAATCATTTTTATTATGCTGGTACAAAATAATTCCATTAAAACTTAAAAAAGACTTAGCAAATATATATATATATATTTTTTTTTTGTCAAAAAAAATAACGCATTAATTTGATTTATGCTTAATAAACCATATAAATAAGGTAAGGTGCAATAAAATTATTACGAGGGGAATAAAATTAGGGGCGGATCGAGCATTTTTTGATGTTTGAGACAGACATAGAAATTTGTAACCCCCTCAGATTAG